TTTTTTTATTTTTTTATTTTTTTTTATTTTTTTTTGAGAAAGTTGCTGCCAATATTACGAACGTATTCACGATAATAGACCTAGACGCTCTGTTTCAGGGCTTTATGAACTACATTAAAGACTTGGCTACGGCTATCTAAAAGTGGATTCGTACTCGTCTATGGGAAACGGCGTTTATCATCCTAAGCATATTCATCATCATCTTCGCCCTTACCATCATGCCTTACGTCCCGGAAGCTACTGACTTTACTGCTGTTAGCTCTATTGCTGGTAAGTCATCTGCAAGTTACACAAGAAGGAAAAAAAAAAAAAAAAAAAAAAAAAAAAAAAAAAAAAAAAAAAAAAAAACAACTATTTTAAAGGTCATACGATTAACCGAGGAGCTCAGGCACTACCGCCGCAGCTATAAAGTTAGCTGTCTCACCCGTGGTCGCTAGCAGCACTTCTACCATCTTTTAGAGCGCTGTAATGGGCGGTTATAGTCTCCCGATTGTGGTTGGATCCGTACAGGCGACTGCTGCTACTGGGCTCGCTACAGTGGCTCTAAATTGATTTTTCCGTGGCAACAAAGGCGACTCCGGTGATAAGGATAAGGGCACTTAAATTGAAGGAGGACTATTTTTTTGAAAGTATATATGCAAAATCCTCTAACGAGAGATTCGTTGCGACAGGGGAGCAGCCACTTAGTAGATTTAAGGGATGACCTAAGCCAGCAGTGATAAACTAAATAACAGAAAATGAGTTTGCTGAACCAAATAGGCAACTACACGGGGCTAGTCGTCTGGTCGGGCCAATTAGAAGTCACTTCGCAAACGATTAGTTATGCACCATTAGTGCGTGCTTATTCCACCGGATTGGTCATCTAAATTGGTGTTTGTTGGATTGAATGGTTGAAACCGTGCGAGTGAAAAGGTAACGCGGCTTGATTTTGAAAGAGTGTCTGGCAGCGAGCTTTATATACATGAAGAGGTGGAGCAGTCATGTGCTCGCTTATAGAAAGTAATAGGGGAGTAGCGGGGTGTTGAAACAACGAAAAAGCAAAGTGAATATAGAGAATAATGCATGAAGAAATTTGGTCTGATAGTCCAACATCTAGCTTTCGCGTCACTTCCTTGCCTTCTTAATCTTTTCCGGTTTCCCGTCATAACATCTACTGCTTATACCCTCGTCTCCCTATCTATGTCTCTGCGGCGCTAGCACGCGCACGGAGGTCTAACACATTTAGCCGCTGCGGTCGCCGAACTGTGTGGGATTCTAGGTCTGTAGAGCTGATGTGCGGGACGTGGTGCGTGCGTGCTTGTATGTGTGCGGGCGGGAAAACGCTGATGTTCATGAGTGCGGTGGCGGAAGCAACGAAGCGTAGAAGTAGCGGAACAGTAGGGGGTGCAAGAAACCGTGAGGATGACTTGATTTGAAGGTGTTGGTGTGGATTTATCGGTTTTTGAGCAGCGCTGGTGGCGCTGCGGTGCGCTACGAGCTAGCTACCCGGCGAACGCCCACGACCTTATCCCTACGGCAGCTTTCGTGCATGTCTTCGCCCACCACATGTTTCTCTGCCATTTCAACTATGGTTCCTCCGTTCTTCACTGCTACCCCTATCGCAATCAAAAGCAACAGCAACATTACCCAATGTTGACTAGTGCGAGAAAGCTGGATACTGCTGTCGCATTGAATTGGGTGAAACTGCCTGCTTGAATACATTTTTTCTCTTGGTAGAAAGGTGGTTATCGTTGCCCTAATAGAAGAGAATGGTGTGACGTTGAAAAAGCAAAATAATGGCAGGGTCGATGATAAGCGAAACAACATGGTTATGGCGGTGATGGTTGGCAGTACTATTAGCTATATGCATCACTCAACAGCTGTTGACATGTTGGGTGAAACCGTGTGAGTGAAAACGAGAACACGGCTTGATTGTTAATATTAGAAGCCTTGGTATTTCCTAAAAGCTTTTATCCACAGAACTCGTCCCTTCGGACAGAAGTTCTACAAGAATATCTGTAGATGTAAACGTTCTAGTAAATATTACGCTTAGGAAAAAAAAAACAAGGACGTTCATTCTCAAGTCTCTTTACTATAAAATTCGACTTATCTAATAGTGTAAGTGTGACTGGCAGCGAGTCTTTTATGTACAAATATTATGTAGCAGTTATGTGCTCGCATGAAGGTGTCAGGGGGTAGTAGGGTGTAGCTCTTCCCAGGTAGGATAATAAGCCACCAATGATGCTCTATAGGGTGGGTAAGTCTAGTTTCTATTATCTAGGAACCACATGAAAGCGTTTGAATAAGAGTACTGTGTTATCACTTCCGCTTTTTCGTGCAGAATCATGGATATATGTAAGCTTTCCGAGCCCTAAAACAGATCTTACGCAAATGGTAGAGTGTGAACTCACGTTTATAGGATAATTCGGTTGGAAATATACTTCCAGAACGCGGTTTACTTACCGCATGTGAGTATGTAAGCCGTAGTTAGGAAAGAAGATTGGTTAGGCCTCGACCCGCCAATTTATTCAGTCACTGTTAGTATTACGCCCACAGCCACAAGGCCACACCTATTAGTTCCAGTAAAAATTTACGTGAACTGAACATCACAAACAATTACACTAGTTGTCGATGAGTCTTTGCCGGACGTCCCTGTCACCTGGTAAAAACATTCAATGGCATCCGAGCCTGTACCGCGCTAGCCGAGCACTTCAATCCTGGGAACCCCCGCCTAACCTCAAAGGTTCCCATTTGGCGATCCGCATTCACACTTGCACCCGTACCCCTTCCGGCACCCCTTCCCTGCGCGTGCTTGCGCGCGCTCGTGTCATGTGTCTATTCGCTAACTTTATGATTGTGTTGAGCACAGTAACCTCTAGCTGCCGCAGCTTCGTCCCTACAACCTTGTTCACTTTTAACACTAAAAATTTATCGCACGAATAAGATGTCTCCACGACAAGGCTTACAAGAATGACAACGCACTCATGCATATACTAGATAGGAAGGTGATAATGTCGTCTAGACTCAATAAATATTTATATCGCTCAGTAAATCTATAGCGCTCTAATCAATCTCCCAAACACTGTTAGTCAACTCATAGAAATAACAGTACGTGTTGAGATAGCAGACATAATAGGGTCTTAAATCGTAAGGTATCTGATCATATTTGCCTTCAAGCCTTAGCTAATCGATCTATTGAGTTGCTTGTTCACAAGATGACTCGGCCTGGACCAAAAAAGGAATTTTATGCTGTTGCGGATAGCCCATATTTGGATATACCGACTATTTTTTCATCTTGGTAAGCTTAGCAACCATATTAATTGAAACAGTTGGCAATTTACTCAATGTTAATCTAAACAGGGGTAGTGTACATCCACTGGTTACTGGCTGCAGAAGTGTTCATCAAGGATTCCCAACTCTCGAAGAAGCCAAACAATATATGCGGAAGAAAGGGATTGAAAGTTTTAAGGAGTGTATCCAAGAAGGAGCAGGAAACACGACTCCGATTCGCGGGCAGGAATGCTATTTTGCGGTGGCAAATGGAGTCCGGCCAGGAATATATCGAAATTACTTGTATGCCGCTTCCACTACACGGTTAAAGATGATTCTAATATGGACAGCGGAGATGATGGTGCAAAAATTCCGGCTGATAAGCACCCAGGGGCTTGTCATAAAAGTTTTAGAACAAAAGCACAAGCAGAAGCTTTTATTGAAGACTGGAAATCTATGTTTGCTGAGATATGCAAACAGAAGATTAGGTCAGAACTAGATCGCGGTGTAAGGCCTGTCGATATTGGGATAGCTCAGAAGCCGATCTTGACACTGTTGAATAAACAAAGCGATGTGGAGGAGGCTATAAATCGGTTAGAGCAACTTAACCTAGCTCAATAATAATTTAGCCCCATTACTGCTTCTTCGTTTCAATGTGTACAAAAACAATGCGAAGCCATAATAGAAATACAACTTAATGGTTCGCGTGTATAGTGAAACCGTGTGAGTGAGAAGAGAACGCGGCTTGATTGTAAAAGAGTAGCTGCGAGCTTTATATACGCAGGAGCGAAGCAGCCATGTGCTCGCTTGAATAATATAGCAGGGAGGATAACATGGTGTGGAAACAACCAAAAAGCAAAAGCAAATATATAGACTATGCGAAGATAGAGTGGCTTGATAGTAGAATAAGCTGGCCTGATATCCAATAACTATCAATACCGGCATGGAACTTGCGGTAGAGAAAACCCTCAAAGACGAGAACCTAAGCCTAGCGTCCTACATAATTTACAGCGATTCCAAGGCAGCCCTACAAGCACTAGCAAGTCTATATAAACGGCGACCAGGTCAAGACATAGTCCAATCCATCATAGAAACAGCCTAGTATATTAGAGACAACTATCATATTAGTTTCTCTCTTCAATAAGTTCCAGGCCACAGTAGGATTAAAGGGAATAAAGAAGCAGATAAACTAGCTATCAACCATCACTACCTAAGTCACGTGATTTACTTATTTTTTATCGCACCATTACAACAGACCCCGGCTACTCTCCACAGGACTATCCTCCTATGTCGCTTATTACGTAGCACTTTCAGGAGGACTAATATCTAGTCTAGATAAGATAGTATTAATTAAGGGACAAGCGGCGTCCATTCTTTCTCGCGCCCTTTAATAGTTATTAGTCCGGCTATCGCCTCCAGTATACTCTATATTTATTTATAACTTATTTGGCTACTTTCATACCCTTATTTTACCTACTATTACCTCCAGCACCTATTAGTATAGCTTTAGCCCTAACGGTCTATTCCGTTCATCCTCTACACTATAGTAGAACATGCGAAAAAGATAATAACCTGTGAAGCTGGCGCGAGGAACTGGATGCTGCTTGTCCTTCTAGGTTACTGCCACCTATGGAGGTATAGAAGCTACTGTCTAGAAGAACACATTTTCTCTGGGTTTCATGCCGTTCTTGCTCAATGCTAGCCGCGCCCAGGTATCTTCCTCCTGGGATTTCGCCCGTTCCTCGGCCTGGCCTCTGTAGTTTTTGCTAATCTATTATTCTCATTTTGCTCTTTTACGCGCGTTCCAAGTTATCAGTATTTATCGGCAGATCCTTCGTCTGGGCGGGTAGGCCTCCAATTCGTGTCAAAGTCGCTCGCGTTTCAGGGTTGGCCTCAGCTTGTAATGGAAGACTTTCCGTCGCTTCCGCTAGTCTTTCGCCTACAGCCATTTACAGTGCGTCGTACCTATCAGAATATTTGATTTCTGTACAATTTTTTATATTTGTTTTTGCTTTTTGGTTAGTTCAGCACCAAGCTATCCTGTTGCGTTCTTCAAGCGAGCACATGACTGCCTCGCTCCTTCATGTATATAAACCTCGCAGCCAGCCACTTTTCTACAAACAGGCTGTGTTCTATTTTCTCCCACACGGTTTCACCCAACACGCCAACAGTTATCCTCCAATGTTTCTTTGGGGTGGCTTTCCGTAGTTCCTTTTTGTGAAGCTGGGCGCGAGGAATTGGACGCCGCTTGTCCTTCTAGATTACTGCTACCTATGGAGGTATATATGCTGCTATCTAAAAGAACACGTTTCTTGTTGAGATCCTTAATTCCTTGCAGTAGAAGAACGTGTGGTGTAAGGGAGTCAGTTTATTGCGTAACAACTAACCGTAGGGTTGAAGCTGTGCGTTGTTAGAGTGATACTGGCTGACACTTTTCTTTTTCCAGGCGCTTTATAAGAGACAGAGAAGGAAAATTAGACTAAAATAGAATCATCGGCTTTTTGTTTCGTACAAACGAAGCCATAAACAAAATAACTTCTTTTATAGAAGATAGAGCAGAGACAAATTATTCTGGTAGCTCCAGA